ACTCTCCACTCCAATCCTCTGTGGCTATGTCACAGACTCTGGGCCCAAGAGTCCCCAGGTCTTGCAACACTGCTTGCCAACCAGGTCTCCACCCAAGTTCACAGAAGTCTATTGAACATTGTAGGGCTTAGCTTACAGCTTCATTGCTGTTTTTCTCTCATTTCCCCTTATCGGTGATGAATGTGGTCACCTATCAGAGCATGTATTCCCATTGAGTCTTAGTCTTGGGAGGGGGCTTGCTCTGAGGGGATCCAACCACTTGCTTTGATATCTCCTGGGTCGTTGAGCTTCTTGGATGCTTATCTTTTTGCTCTTCAGGATGTTAGGGAAATTTTCTTCCAGAAGTTCTTCAACTATCTCCTCTGTGGACTTGTGTGATTCTTCCTGTTCCGGAATGCCAATAATTCTTAAGTTATTCCTCTTCATGTTATCCAACATGAATCTTAGACCTTCCTCAGATTTTTTAATCCTTTTTTCTGCTTGTTCTTTTATCTTAGTGGTATTGAGAGATTTGTCCTCCAGTTCACTAGTTCTGCCTTCCATCTCTTCAGTTCTACTCCTTTGCCCTTTCAATGTATTGTCCATTTCTGATATTCTATTATTAATCATTTGGATCTCTTTCAGTAGGTTTTGGATTATTTCCAATGCTGTATCTATCTTATTTGATTGTTCCCATAGCACTTTCTTGCCTTCTTCCTTATTTTTCTCAACTCCATTGTAAAGTGTTTTGATACATTTTATAATCATTTTTCTGAATTCCTTCTCAGGCATTTCCAAAGCCTGCCCTCCTTCCAGTATGGAGTGTAGGTCTACTTCTAGCTCATTTGTCTGTCACTTGATCTCGTTTCTGGACTTGTGCTGATATGGTCATCTGTTTCTGCTTTTGGGGCATATTCAGTGGTTAACTATGGCCTTAATACTTAGATGGGTGTGTGTTTTGGTAGCACAGTAGTTATGAATCGGGCTGCAAACATTAAGGTTAGCAGTCCAAAACTACCAGCTCTTCCACAGGATACCCTGTATAGGTTCGCTATGAGTCGGAACCGACTCCATGGCACATAACCACGACCCACCATCACTTGCTTCCAGGTAGATGTGATCAGGAGATGGGCTTCCTTTTTCAGTCTTCTTCCTGAGAAATTTCAAGATGCCACTGTTGGTCATTATGATGTAACTCAGGATTTTATTTTTGGCCTGCTTTTTTGTTAGTTTGCCTGTCCTGCTTCACAACCCCTGTTCAAAGTACCACCAAGTCTCTTTACTTATACCAGTGTTGTTGTTGTTGCTAAATGCTGTTAATGGTTTCTGAGGAGCAACTGATGGGTTTGAACTACTGACCCTGTGGTTAGCAGTCCAGTGCTAATCCTACAGGGCCACAACATGACTCCAATCGATGTTGTTGTAGTAAAGTGCCATTAAGTTAGTTCCGATTCATAGTGATCCTGTATAGAGTTTCCAAGTTGTGTTTGAACTGCCAACCTTGCAATTCAGATGGACCTTGTAGTCAAGTTCTTATCTTACAGCGACACATCAGGACTCTAGTTATATCAATGTTGTTGCTACTAAGTGTCTTTGAGTCAGCTCTGACTCATTGTGACCCCGTATAGGGTTTCCGAGGAGCAGCTGGTAGGCTTGAACTGTTGACCTTGAGGTTCTCAGTCCAGTGTTGATTCTACAGTGCCACACCAGGAGTCCAGTTATACTAATAGCTGTCATTTCTTAATTCTGTTATATGGGCAACTACTTTGTTTCTGGTTCCCAAACCTTGCAAGACACATATCACCATCCTATTTTGTAAATAAGAAAACTGAACTTCAGAGAGATTAAGTAATTTCCCAAGGCCACACAGCCAAGAGGTCAAGCTGGGATTCCAACCCAATCTGTACAACCCAAAACCTTTATCTTCTCTACAGCTCGATAATCCCTAGTTCTCTCCTCACTTTACCCCACACCTGAATCCTTCAGCAAATGCATGTCCAATCTACACTGCGTATCACAGTGTCAGGGATGGCTTTGTCTGATATAATTTTTTTTTTTTTTTTGCATCATGATGATAAGCTTTCCTCCATCTCTCTTGAACTTCACCCAGTCAGTGGTCCTGGAGCCCACAGAACACGACTCCTCCTACCTCTACTTGACAACCTTCAAATATAGTTCTGAGTCTGACATTGTATTCTTACCTTTTGCTTGTTGTGATTCTAGCTATGGCTGGTTCAACACAAGCATGATTCTGGAGGGGAAGAGCTATCTGCAGTGGCTGACTGAAAGGTGAGCTTTTGAGCTTCAGCTTGAGTGAAGCATCTTCCAGGGACCAAGGCTGGTCCATGGGAATATCTCTTTGCATTGGTCAACCCCAAAGCCTGATAGAAGCCCATAGGTGAGTTGGAGCTATCCTTGATCCTGAACATCACTGGTTACCAAGACAATGATTCAAACACCTGGCTGGGCATCAGAATCACCTAAGGCATTTAGAGGGAAGAGAGGATATTCATAGCCTACCTTGCTCCTCATGCTCTGCTTCTGACAAACGGCATTTGGCATTGGTCCAACCCTGCCTGTCCTCCACCCCAGGTCTCATTCCCTTTGGTGTTACAAGGCAATATGGTGATAGAAGGAAGGGTTAGGAGCTAAGAGACCTGGGTTCAAGTCCCAATCCTTTCATTGACTCATTATAGAACCTTGAGCAAGTTCCTTCTCCTCTGAGGTTCTTTTCCAGTCCTACCTTCCCAGTGAGAGTCTGGAACCATCTCAGGTTTCTTCAGGGATGTTTTATGGATCACTCTTCCAACAAAATGCTCAGCAACTGATTTAACTACACAGCTATTTTCTCAAGAAGTATCCTGTGGGACTAACGTCCACAGGAAGGTCCTTTATGAAATGCTCCCCTTGCCATCCTCTTGAAGGGAGAATGTTGGGGCAGGGAACTGAATACCAGGCTTTTTTATGTGCCTGATCATCCCAGGTTAACTGAGAGGGGAGTGAAATTCTTCCAGCGGAAGGTGGAGTCTTTTGAAGAGGTGAGCTTCGGGGATGAAAGGGGATTGATGTGGGAGGGAGAAGAAAAGGGGAGATTTCCGTTTCCTTGAGGATCCCTTTAGGACAGTCCCAAGCTGCGGTCCCTTTCTCAACCCCAGAATGACTCTCAGGAGGCCTCTATCTTGGTGGTGGTGGTGGGAGTGAAGTGGTCATTTGGGGTTAGTTAATATCTGAGCTTCAGTGAGTTTTAGGGATGGAGACCTGGCTGTTTCTTCTCAGTAGCAGCTGCACCCCTACCCCCATGTTTTAGAACTTGCTTGCTTCCTTCTGACACCTATGTGGCTGTTTCTGCATCCATGGTGGACAGGTTTAAGCAGAATCTCCAGACTAAGACAGACAAAGAAGAAAGGCCTGGTGATTTACTTCTGAAAATTACCAGTGGAAACCTGATGAAAACATTACCTGCCCATTTTGTAGCTGAGGCTCAGAGAAATAAATAACTTTTCTGAGCTCTCACAGAGGGTAAATGGTGAAGTGCAGATTTGGAACCAGGCCCAAATGATTCCTCAGTGAGGGAACAGGGAGTTATGAGGTTGTAGAGGGTTGAAGGGAGAGCAGCCCTCCCCCGGGGTCCTCACCCCTTCCACTCTTGCCTGTTGTGTTGATTGCTGTTAGGTGGCACAAGGAGGCACAGATGTGATTATTAACTGCACAGGAGTGTGGGCTGGGGCACTGCAGCCAGACCCCCACCTGCAGCCAGGCCGGGGACAGATCATTAAGGTGAGTCTGAGGGTGGAGGGGGAGGTGAGACCACTAGGTTTTGTTGATAGGAAGATCTTTGCTTTATGCTTATGCCATCTCCAAAGAGAGCAACAGAGTCAGGAATATCCTCAGAGGACCCCTGAGCCTTCTGGGAATTGACATGTTAAAGAAACAGTGAGTACCAACACAACTGCCCCAAACTTCCTCCTACAGAGTTCGACTTAAGTGCCGTGCAAATGTGTCTATGTTTGCATGAGGAAGCTGCACATGGCTGTCTTATAATAAAAGCAGCAAATATTTATGTACTCCATTGCGTTAATATAATCCTTAGCCTCGCTTTTTGACATGGGTACCAGCATTAGCACCACTGTCAACTCACAGTAGAAGAAATTGAGGCACAAATAACTTGTGCAAGTTCACACAGCAGTAAGTTGTGTAATTCGGATTAGATCCCAAGTCGTCTGGTTTAAGAGCCTGTGTATGTAATCAACATTCCACGGAGCCTCTCATTGCATTTGTGCATGCAGGTGCGAGTGTGTGCCTGTTTTTGAGCATGTGATTCCTAGGTACTCATGTGTATACGAGTGTACATGTGTGCATATATAGGTGTACATGTGCATATATGAAGATATGCATGTGCATTCATCTATGTGCCGTGTGTGTGTGTGTGTGTGTGTATAAGTGAGTGTATGCATGTACATTAACAGGCATGCATGTGTGTGCATGTGTTTGGACATGTGCATTATGTATGTATGTATGTAAGGGTATGCATGTGCATTCTAGGTATGCACGTATATGTGTATGTGTTCTGGTGAGCATATTTCCTCCTAACATGGGAGGCGTGTGTGGGTACACATGTGCTCATGTGGGTGAGAATGTGTGTTTCTCAATCAGGGTGGCTCTTCTGCAAGCAGTCCAGTGCAGATTTGGGACAGAAGGGCCTGTGGATCTGGTCTTGCCACTCTTCTCAGAATATTTGATCATCAAAAGAAGCTAAGGCAGGAGGAGCCTACCAATCCAACTCCCCTGACAAGACTTCTCTATCCTGAATCAACAGGTCAATGCCCCTTGGATGAAGCACTTCATTATCACCCATGACCCAGAAAGTGGCATCTACAAGTCCCCGTACATCATCCCAGGGTAAAGAGCTGACTATCCTAGGGCAGAAGTGGGGGGTGCCTCATGCTGTCTTTAAGATTTTGATGCCTTCCCCAGGATCTTCAAGAGTTTTCCCTCCAATGTTTGTTGAGTGAGTTTGAGCCATTAAGGAAGTCAGTGTTGAGTCTTGGTCAGGCTCAACCTTGAAAATGCTCTTGGATTCATTCCAGTGGTGGTGATGTTGGAGACAGCAGCTGTGTATGTGGGGGCAGTGACGTTAGACATGATGGGAATGTCAGCCACAGAAGTGGCGGAGGAAATAGTGATGGTGATTCTATTATGAGTGGAAGTGGTGACGTTACCTAAGATGCTGGTGGTGTTGATGGGATGTGTATATTATTGGTAGTTGAGTGGCAGTAGTAGAGGAAGGATTGTTACTGATAAAGAAGACTATGTTGATGAAGGGATGGTGACTGGGGTAAGGCTGGTAGAGAGTTGATGTTAGTGGTGGGGGTGAGTTGCTGATGAGATCAATATTGGTGATGGTCATAATTGGGATGGGAGCTGGTCTTGAGAGGGTAATGACACCATCACTGATGATATTAATAGCATAACAGATATGATTGTCTTGAAGGGAATGCTAATGATGTGGCAGAGATGACTCTATTGGTGGCAATGTCATTGGTAGTGTGGGGCTGATGAAGATGACATATTAATAGTAATGGCAGTAGTGAATATGACACTATTGATGGCAATATTAGTAGTGAGGGTTGAGATGGAGGTTGGTATTGATGGTGATGACAAAGACAATTGCAGTGGTGATGATGTCACAAAAATGAACATGTTGATGGTAGTGGTGATGGCCGTAAGGATGAACATGATGACAGCCCTTAACTTATCTCAAAGGCTTCATTTTCCTTCATCATCAACGCTCCTTGCTTTTATCTAGGATTCAGACAGTGACTCTCGGAGGCATCTTCCAGCTGGGGAACTGGAGTGAGATAAACAGTATCCAGGACCACAAAACCATTTGGGAAGGTTGTTGCAGACTGGAGCCCACTCTGAAGGTATGATGGGGAGGGGTATCTGGGACTTAGACTAGGGTCCCAGCAGCTTGATCATGAAGATACTTGAGAATGGGGAGACTCCACCACTTGGATAATTGGGCAAACTAATTCCTGCAAGGGACTGTGGAACACACCAAAATTTGACAATATAGAGAGAAGTACCTACTGTGGCCTAAACCTACCTAGTCCTGGCTAAGGATGCTTTCTCTGGAGGTGAACTCTCCTGGATTCACAAGGAGAAGACGTATTTGCTACAAAAGCTTCAGGTTTCACAGTTGCCTGTTAGTGATGAAGATGGTAGTGGTGGTGATGAGGGTGGTGTAGAAGTAGTGGTTGGTGTTGTTGATGATGAAAATGTTTGAGAATGGAGACAGTGGAATGGTGATTAGAGATAATAATGTGGGTGGTGGCTGATGGTGGTGGTAGTTGATGAAGATAGAGAAACTTATAACATGGGTAGAGGCGGTGCTAATGATGGGAAAGATGCCAGTAGTTGATCAAGGTGATGGTTGTTGTTGTTAGGTGCTGTCGAGTCAGTTCCAAGTCATAATGACCCTGTATAGGGTTTCCAAGGCTATAAATCTTTACAGGAGTAGAAACTCTCATCTTTTTCCTATGGAACAGCTGGTGGGCTCAAACTGCCAACCTTGTGGTTTGCAACCCAGTGCTTATTCTACAGAGCCACAGCGCTTCCCAGTGAGGATGGCTGCTGTTGTTGTTAAGTGCCTTTGAGTTGGTTCAACTCATAGTCATCCTGTATAGGGTTTCTGAGGAGCGGCTGGTGAGTTTGAGTCACCGACCCTTGCAGTTCAAACCAAACTTATGACTGAGTGCTTATCCTACAGAGTCACACCAGGACTCCTTGATGATGATGGTTGTGGTAATCAATACAGGTGACTGTAACAGTATTGGTGATGGGGATCCAAAAACTAACTCCCTACCACCTACAATTGACAGCTGCCAAAAACAAACAAACAAAAAATCCAGAGATGGGTTGCAATAATTTCTCTCCTGCAGGATGCAAAAATTGTTGGTGAATGGACTGGTTTTCGACCAGTACGTCCTCAGATTCGTCTAGAAAGAGAACAGCTTTACTTTGGATCTTCAAACACACAGGTATGTCCTCCTGGCAAGGAAAGCAACATTCCCCATCCCAATTAGACAGTTCTGATATTTCCAAGGAATGGTCACATCGGACTTAAGCTTCACACAGTTTCCCTGGCAGTCAGGAAGTGATGGCTAATAACCCTTCCATTATAAATGAGAAACTGAGGCTCTGTGATGGTAAAGGACATGATCAAGGTCACATGAAGAGCAGGGCTCTGGTTTGTTAAGTCCTGTGGTTGAGTAGAAGGAAAATGGGTACTTATTGAGTGTTAATTTTGTGCTAGGGAATAGGAACTCTTTTCCCCATGCTTTAGATGAGGAAGCTGGGGCTCCAAGAATGAAGTCACTGGCTTAAGTCAGACCACTGGTAAGGGCAGGGTGGAGATGTATTTTGAATCTTGGTCTAGCTGACTCGAGAGCCAGTTCCTTGATGTCCATTTTGTGGCTGCCCTATCATCTCTCTGGACTTCCTGCTCATGTCCCCTCATAAGTTAGGAACCATGGGAGTTACCTAAGAGAAGGAACTGACATAAATAGTGATATCTGTGTTTCCACCAGGAAAGCAATTCTCCCTACCTGGCTCACCCTCCCGCCCCAATCCCAGGTATATGGTATACATGTGTATGTAAAAGGGAGCTCATGTGTGTGTGTTTATACGGTGTACATGTGTGTATAAAATGAATTTGTATATGTGTATATAATATACACGGGGTCTTGTGTGAGTATATGTTGTTGTTGTTAAGTGCCGTCGAGTCAGTTCTGACCCATAGCGACCCTGTACAGGGTTTCCGAGGGTGTAAATCTTTACGGGAGTAGAAAGCCTCATCTTTCTCCCACGGAGCAGCTGGTAGTTTTGAACTGCTGACCTTTATGTGTAAAGGGTTTTGTATTGGAGACTCACATATGGAGTTGAACTCCTTGCTGATAGTTTTAGCTTTGAACAAGGCCCCCAAAAAAGAATGAGCACACTAACCAGAATCCACACAGGTTCCCCAGCCTCTCCTCCCTCTCCAAATGGGTAGAAGAGTCTTCTATTAACACAGAGGGTTTATCAGTTCAGAGGAGGATGGGAACAAGGTTTGGGGAACATCTAACAATATGAAGGGGAGACTCTGTGACAGCAACTTCCAGATGTGATTCTACTCTTCCTGGGCTGAGTGTGTCTCCCTAGCCTACCTCCTAAGCAGACGAGAAGACTCTAGGGTGATGCCCTTTATCTCCCCAAACAATCCCCTTCCTGCTGTACTAGGGGCTTCCACTATCTCCTCAGGCTCCTGAGAGAAGTTTGGGGTGGTATCTGACTGCCCAGAACACTTCAGGAAAGTCCTGAGCATTCTAGGGCAGAAAACTTCCCCTGCCCCTTTCACTGCTCTTCCCTGACCAGTCACCACCTCTCTTGCCTCTTCCAGATCATCCACAATTACGGCCATGGAGGCTATGGGCTCACCATCCACTGGGGCTGTGCGCTGGAGGCAGCCAAGCTCTTTGGGAAAATCCTGGAAGAAAGAAAGTTGTCCAGGAGGCCACCCTCCCACCTCTAAAGACTCTAGTGACCACGACCTCCACAGGCATTCCCGCCTCCTCTCAACCAACTAATCATGTGCTCCCCTATAAACTGCCACCAGCTCCCACCTCAACCTTCACATCTTTCCACAAGAAGCATGAGATGAGATACGAGGTCAATTCACAGAGGAGAGTCCAGCCTGACCTAGGCTTCCTCTGTTCCCTGCGTTCTTCTCGAATGTTCCACACTCAGCCCAGATCTGAGATGATGAAGAACAGCTGGGGGCTGTTCTTATTCTATAAGACCTCTCAGAAGGAAGGAGAACTCAGAAACTGAAAGAGGCAAGTTGCCTAGAGCCACAGCGCATTGAGGATAGTAAGTTACTTAATTTTAGGTCTTGCTAACACATTTTAGAAGGGTAAGGAACCTTTTTTCTGCCAAGGGCCATTTGGATATTTATAACATTACTTGTAGACCATTTGGATATCTATAACATTATTCACAGGCCATTTGGATATTTATAACGTTATTCGCAGGCCATATGAAATGATCAACTTAAAAATTAGCCTGCTATAATGTGATGGCTGGAACTGCAGTTGTCTTGGTAGGGCCAGACCAAATGATATCTCAGGCCTTATAAGGTCTGCGAGCAATCCCTACATTAAAGGTTCTGGAAAGTTCTGCAGAAAAGACACCTATCCAATGTTGTTTAACACAGTGTTTGCTAAGCCTATCTCATCACGGAGACCTTTTTCTAAGAACACGTTAGGAAACACGGTAGCAGATTACGTTGTACGGTGCTACATGTAGAATGAGAGTGTGGAGGAGGCAGATGAGGCATTGAACTAGTAATACACCATGCTTGTTCCATGGCCAGCATTCCAAGTTGCTCTAGTTGCTCACTGAAGGAACCACAGACACCATGTAACCCTTGAGAAAGGGCCACTAAAGAGTCAATCCCACAAGAAACTCCTTCACAGAGATGAAACTCACCAAACATATTCCTCTTTGTTGTTAAGTGCCGTAGAGTCAGTTCCGACCCATAGCAACCCTGTATAGGGTTTCCAAGGAGTGGCTGGTGAGCTTGAACTACCAAACTTGCAGTTCAAACAACTTTGCAGTCCTGTGCATTAACCCACTTTGCCACACCAAGACGCCTACATTCTTTTAGGGGGGTAGAGTTAACATCTCCTATCTTCCAACTGTCACTCTGTAAGGACAGACAGACTCCCAGGTGATTTTGAAGGCATTAAATGAGCCTCAAAGACACCTTCCTATCTCCACCTCTAATTACCTGCCTCAGCCTCTCACGTTGAATTTCATCTGTATGTGTTTTTGTGAAAGAAACCCAGGGGAGACAGTGGTAAACACTTGGCTGCTCTCCAAAAGATCAGTGCTCTCCAAAACCCACCAGATGCTCCAAGAGAAGACGACGTGGCAGTGCTGCTTCCATAAAGATTCCAGTCTTGGCAATCCCATGGGGCAGTTCTAGTCTGTCCTGTACGGTTACTATGCATCCGAATCAACACAAGGGCCACGTTTTTGTTGTTTGGGCAGGGAGGAGATGGAAATGCTGAGCTTAGAACAGGGGTTGTTGTTGAGAACCATAGAGTTGGTTCCAACTCATAGCAACCCTGTATAGGATTTCCAAGGAGCCGCTGGTGAGTTGGAACCATCAACCTTGTGGTTCAAACCAACCTTGCGGCCCAGGGCTTTATTTTACAGTGCCACACCAAGACTCCTCATAGAACAGGGGTGGGGAAACTTGGTCCTACCAAAGGCCATTGGATATTTATAATATTCACAGGCCATACAAAATTACCAAAAATTAGCCTGCTATATTTGGTCAAACATTTCATTAACTCACCCTAATGAGGTGGCTGGAACTGTGGTTGCCTTGGTAGGGCCAGACCAAGTGATTTCGCGGCCCTTATATGACCGAGGAGTCCTGGTATGGCTCTGGGTTAATGTGCTGGACTGCAAGCTTGGTTTGAACTGCAAGGTCAGCAGTTCAAGCTCACCAGCCGCTCCTTGGAAACCCTATACAGGATTGCTATATGTTGACACCAACTCGACGGCATTTAACAACAACAACATGCGGTCCAAGGGCCTGACGTTTTCTACCCTTGGCCTAGAAGGTTTAATGCATAGAATAAAACGGGCAAATGTCATCCTATGAGCTATGAAGATGCCTCAATTGGCTTGCTCCCTTCCCATGTTTGTGCCAGGTCATTCCATTACTGTCTGGTCTTTCTCATGCATTTATTTTATAACAAAGATGAGTTTTCCCATAGTCCTGACTGGCCCTGAGCTAAGTAGACTGAGAGAGCCAATATCTAGTTAGCGTATCTGCCTTAATAATAACAGCATTTACTGAGATATTACTGGGTACCCAGCTCTGTACTGAACTCGTAAAGACATTGCTCATTGAGTCATCACGAAAGTCCTATGTGGTGGCCATGATCTCCATCTTGCAGGTGAAGACTCCAAGGCACCGAGAGACAATTCATGGTCAACAGAAAGGAAGGAAAGGGCAGAATGGAGATTCAGGGTCAGTGCACAACACTGAGTCCCAAATTGGGGCTGAGGAGATATCCAGTTGCAGAGGAAACCATTGGACCTCTTCCCCAACTTCTCTGCAATCACACTGACAGGGAGTTCTGTCTCTTGTCCTCATCATCATACTGGGCCAAGACTAGGAACTTTCACTAGGTTCCCTGGAGGTGGGGTAGGGGATAGCATTTAGTTTCTGACAAAAATAGTACTTTGTTGTTAAGTGCCATCAAGTCGTTTCCAACTCATAGCAACCCTGTATAGGGTTTCTGAGGGGTAGCTGGTAGGTTTGAACCCTGACCTTTTGGTTAGCAGTCCAGTGCTGATCCTACAGTGCCATACCAGGGCACGAATCCTACCACCAGTCTAGGTTAGCTGTCCACAAGGACCCTTCAGCACTTGATACACAGGGAACTCACAAAAATGGGGTTGAGGAAGTCCACATTTAGATTCAAAGCAAACTTCTTGCTCTTTTTTAACATCTTTGAAATGTTTCTTCTTGATTCTGTCCTAAAATTCCTAATTGAAAGGACATGGGGAAATTCTGCAACCCATGTGGTTCTGTAAAAGATTTTACAGTGATTGATTCTTTCTTTTTCTCTTAAGTTACTATTTCTGCATTTTCCCTGAAAGTAGTCTGCAGCATAGTTTAGTAAATTCTTGACAACTTGATGAGTTTAGAAAACACTGTTCTTTCCCCATTGAATTGTCTTGCCACCTTTGTTAAAAATAAATAAATAAATAAAATAAATAAATTGACCACACTTTAAAAAAATTTAAAAAAAAATCAATTGACCATATTTCATGTGACATCCCAGTTAATTGGCCTAATATCGTGTGTGGTGCTTCTATTCCACCTTCTAGCTTGATGTGTAGTGACTGGGGTCTTAACAGCTTGCAAGCAGCCATCTGAGGCACAATTGGTATCTATTTGGCTGAAGCAATAGAGGAAGGAGAATCAATAATAGGAGGAATAGGAGGAGGATATGGAATGTGTAGCTAATTGCCTCCACAAATTTTTTGTCATGAGACCAGAAGAACTAGATGGTGCCCAGCTACCATTACTGAACATTTTGATCAAAGAAGAATCCTGATCAAAAGTGGAAAAAAATGCAGAAGAGAATTTCAAATTCTCATGGACTACAAACTTCATGACCATTCTGATGTGGCACTATGGGTTAATGTGCTGGACTGCAAAGGTTTGACCCACAAGATCGGTGGTTCAAGCTCACCAGCTGCTCCTTGGAAACCCTATACAGGGTCACTATGGATCAGAACCGACTTGACGGCATTTAACAACAAAGCTTCCTGGAGTCCTGAAGGTTGGATGAACCCCTGAAAACATTGTCCCGAGATCATCTTTAAACCTCAAAGCAAAATTATCCCTGAAGTCTTCTTAAAATCATAGTTCATTTAACTAGTCAAAAAGTCTGCATTGCACTCTTTTAAGAACTATCTAAATATGATCAAATTGACAACAGCAACTTGAAGATCAGATAGGAACTTTAGGGGGCAGTGAGTTTGATAGTGGGGGATGAATAACTCAGGAAAAGAGGGTGAAATGATTGTGCAACTCTAAGAAGGGAATCAATATCACAAAGTAGTACATGTAGAAATTTAAATTGTCATGCGTTTTGCTGTATGTACTCTCCACAACAACAAAATCAATCAAATGTAAACAAATTGACCATAAATGTTATCATTGCTGTTAGGTGCCATTGAGTTGGTTCTGACTTACAGTGAACCCCATGTTTAATAGAGCAAAACATTACACAATCACTGCTATGTTTCAGCCCACTGTTGATTGGTGGTGGTGTGCCCACAGATCCAACTCATAATGCAGTCCAGTGCATTAACCCACAGCACCACAACAGGACTCCATTTTGCCTATAGAATCCATCAATCTTGCTACTCAAAAGTTGAGTTTTTTCTTCAGTTCTTTTACCTTGAGAAATGCCAAGTGTGCTCTTCTTCACTTTTGTTTTTTTTTTTAACTCCAGGTCTTTGCACATTTCATTATAATACTTTAGTTTGTCTTCTCAAGCTGCTTATGAAATCTTTTCTTTAACTTCATTGTTTTTTCCTTTCACTTTAGCTAGTCTACATTCAAGAGCAAGTTTCAGAACCTTTTCTAACATTCATTTTGGTCTTTTCTTTCTTTGCTGTCTTTTTAAATGCCTGGTGTCTTTGATGTCATGCCACAATTCGCCTGGTCTTCAGTCATTAGTGTTCAATGAATCAAATCTATTTTTGAGATGGTGACCCAGGTATGACTAATGAAAAGCAATGGCGAATCTGTTGGAGGATTTCCCTTTCCAACCCAAAACAATGGTGGGTGGTGATATGCCACGGAGTCAGTTCTAACTTATAGCAGCCCTGTATAGCGAGTAGGGTCTGTAGGGAGCAGAAAGCCTTGTCTTTCTCCCATGGACCCACAGGTAGATTCTAACTCCTGACCTTGCAGTTAGTAGCCCAGCTCATAATCTACTATGCTATACGGGTTCTTAACTCAAAACAATAGACCCTATGA